TCTTTGTTTGGATGCACCGTTGTTGGTTTTGGAGGTTATAGTAGTTTTTATAGAATTTTGGATGGGTGTTTTTGCTATATCTGAATTTTGGAGAGAGTTTTGTTTCAAATCTTTCAGAGCCTTCTCTGTTTTTGCTAGATCTGAAATGTGGATGTGGTTTTTGTTTCACTTGTGCTTTCGATCTCATGTTGAATGCAGTTTTTGTTTCACTTTTTTCTATATATGAGATTTGGATGAAAGTTTGGACATTACATATTTCGTTAAAATGGTTCTTATTGAATTTTGGATGGGTGTTTTTATAGAATTTCGTTAAAATGATTTCGTTAAAATGGTTTATCCTAAACATTAACATAGTTTGGGCATTACATTTTTTCGGCATTGCATTTTTCTGATTCTGAATTGTTGGATGGGTGTTTTTATGGAATTTGGGATGGGTCTAGTTTTTGTTTCACTGTTTTATAGATATTTTGATTCATTAAAATTGTTCTGGCATTAGATAGAAAATGTTGGATACAGTTTTTTGTTTCATTAAAAATGGTGCGGAGAAAAAAAAATAGATGCAAGTTCATTCGCAATGCAAATACTATTCGTTGTTTAGCAAATGATGGGAATACTATTCACCGTTTATGCCATTTACAGAGTTGTAAGCTTGAGATGCAATGTAACTTCATTTGCAATGTCGAAAAATAAAATTGTTTCTGTCTATCCACTGTTTCTGACCTGTGCCTCAATGCAAATACTATTCACTGTTTATAGCATCTGATTGGTATATTTTTATGGGGTTTTCAAGCTTCCTTTGATGTTGAGGGTAGAGAGGATAGAGAGGATATACACTGCAACACTGCATATATTTTAGAGCTACGAGTTGTATTGGTCTTTAGAGTTTCGGTTTGCAACACTCATTATTGTGATGATGATGACTGTCGATATGAGCATCATAGCTAATGGAAATGCATTATGGTAATTCAACAATTACTTCGATGGAATTGGATTCCACGACATGTATGAGAAGTTGCATATCAAATATAAGATGTCTATTGTTTAATTGCTACACATGTACTTTAGTTGTAGTGTTTTCCATTGAGAATCATAGCCATGTACTCTTACATAATTAGAAAATAAAACATGTTTGATGCCTTACTGTGGATTTTGAACCACATAATTCCTTTGTGTTATTTTTTTTTTTTTTTATGAGCAAATTTGGACACTGTTGTTGGTTCATTTGGAGAATGTTGGTTCATTTGTTGGTTCATTTTGTTGGTTCATTGTTGGACACTGTATCTTTCAACTTTTTCATCTCTGGTTGGTTAATTTGGAGAATTTTCTTATGTTTGTTGAGTTATAATATGAATTTATTTATGCAATATGCAATTTTTCATGTAGTTCCACAATGTCCAAGACAAATGAAGGTGGTCCCTCAGTGATGAGGTGGTCCCTCAGTCAGTGATGTGGGATAAGAAAGTTACAAATATTTTCTGCAACCTCTGCATCTCTGAGATTGAGATGGGGAATAGGCCAACCACCTATTTCAACAAGGAAGGTTGGCTGAATATAACTAGAATTTTTAAATAACTGGCTGTAAGGGATTATGACAAGACTGAAGTTTAAAAATAAATGAGATCAACTAAAGAAAAAGTGAAAAATTAGGAAGGAGTTGAAATGTGGATCCAAAGGGTTGGGCTAGGATCTAATCAAACGAACTATTGATGCTTCAGATGAATAGTGGGCCGAGAAATTAGAGGTAAAATTCTCATTATTTATGTGTGTACATGTATTTTCAATTAAAACAATTATCCCCCTAAACCCCCTCCTCATTTTAATGTTATAGGCAATGCCAACAACGAAAAAAATACAAGCAGAGCGGAATTGATCCGAATTTTGAAGATAAACTTGACATAATGTTCAGGATGGTTGTGGCAACAGGAAAGCATGCATTCAGTACTAGTGAGACGTGGTTTGCAGGAATACCCGATAATTTTTCATCAGAGTCGGTGGCAGTTGAAGATGAAATACACAGCGTTGACCAGAGGGAGATGATAGAATCAAGCTCACAGATGAAGAGGCCCAAGCTTGGAAGAAGAAAGAAAGAAAATTATACATTTGTGAAATTTTCATTTGACAGACTCATAGATGCTTTTGGAACACCACCGCTTGCTCCAATACCTGACAGCACTATTTTTGATTGTCTTCACACTTTGTCAACCATCTCTTAAGTAGTGCGTATAAGCACTTTCATGCAATATGTATGAAAAAACTTGAGGATCCAACACGTAGGCACATATTTATGACGCTGGAACCAGAGTTGCGAGTCGAATATTTACGTGTTATTGTGGATGATTGAGTTTTTATGTGTTTTCAATAAATGCATTATGCACTCTTCAAAGTTATGAACCCATATGTTATTTAGAGTTGTGTTTTATTTTAAAATGTATTTTTTACTTGATTCCTGAATGCATATTAGTAGAGCTCTACATTTTTTTTATTCTTACTAGTTGAGTGTTCTCATTATTTATTTCTCGCTCGCCGTATTGATTAATAATTGATGAACTAACTGAGATCTTTCTTCTTTTAGGATGGATTCACAACATGAACTTCGTAAGAGAATGACATGGATTGCAGCTATTGCCATAATACTGTTGAAGTATTACCGATTAAGCAGTGTTTGTATACCCCAAATGACCTCCAGCTTTGTTGGGGATAAATGGGTAGGAGAAATGCATTCTGGACATCTTCTGAAATGGGTAGGAGAAATGCATTCTGGACATCCTATTAGGTTCAGTAACATATTTCGAATGACAGTACTTATGGATCTCTTGCACTTGCATGAGTTATCCCTCAATCACGAACTCCAAGGTTCTTGGAGAACGACGAGAAGGGGGGTATTGGCTATAACATTATATATTCTGTGACATAATGAATCAATTAAGGGTGCTACAGAGAGATTTCAACATTCATCGAAGACAATAAGCCATTATTTTTCTAAAGACATACAAATACTTGTTAGCTTAGCCGCTAAAATCATCAGACCACATGATCCATCATTTGCTAATACTCCAAGAAAATTCGCAGTCGATCCCCGTTACATGCCTTACTTTAAGGTAACCATTCTTTTATTTACTTTCATAATAGCATATAAATATTATCTAACATTGTAAAACAGAACTGCATATGTGCAATTGACGGTACTCACGTTGATGCCCGAATACCCAGCTAGGACAATGTGGCTTACATTGGTCGAAGTGGTTCAACTACTCAAAATGTCATGACGGTGTGTGACTTCAACATGTGGTTCACATATGTTATGGCGGGCTAGGAAGGGAGTGCACATGATAGTCGAATTTTCGCCTATGCTACGAGGAATAGATCACAGGGTTTTCCTCATCTGCTTTCAGGTATTTTTTGATTTATAAAATTCAAAGTTATAGGTATTTATTGCAAACAACGATATCTTCCATAACAAGAAAATACTATCTGGTTGATGCTGGATACCCTATGTAGAAAGGGCTATCTGAAGCCATATCCAGACAGTAGGCATCATATTCCTGATTTTAAGTGAGCAAGTGGGACTATTCATGGTATGAAAGAAATGTTTAACAAACGCCACTCTTCTTTACGTGTGGTAATTGAAAGAACTTTTGGGGTTTGGAAGAAGAAATGAGTCATCCTACGTGATATGTCGCCATATCCATTTCAGAAGCATGTGCATATTGTGGTGGCAACAATGACACTTCATAACTTCATCCGACGACACTCTTCATGTTCAGATACAGACTTTAGTATGACTGATAACGAATAACTGACTGTCTATGAAGAACCATCAGAAATCATGATCGGGCCTTCAGTTCCCGATGATGATAATGAATTTAATGATTTTGAAGTTCATGACGCGGAGGGTGTGACTGAGATGACTGTTCTGAGGGAGTCTATAACAGATACTATATATGACAACTAATCCAACAAGTCTTTCTTTTCTTCTTATATATGTAGATAAAATTTTTATGTGTATTTTATTTTATTTTTTTGGATAAGTTCTGACATTCATTTTTTTTTTTTCACAGTTATACAAACATGACTTTCTAGGATATCTGTTACAAAGAGAGTTATTTTGAGTTATTGTAGACTACCAACTCCGTTCCTCATGTCGCGTGAGTCTTACAGCTTTGAGAGACAGTTCTACAGTTGTGTCAAGGGCGTTTCAACTCGTTGCAGTTTCTTCCGGCGGACTGATAGTCCCACATATCACATTGCCATCAGCCATGAGAATCCGATGTTTTTTCAGGTTGATAGTGCAGCTGAGGACAGACGTATCTAGAGTTTGAAATTAAATATTTTAATATTTCTCATTGTAGTTGTATTTGTCTTTCTCTTTTTTTATTTATTTCTTCTGATACTCACCAGAGTGTGAAAACTGTATGTCATCTTTTGAAACTGATTTGTGATGATAATATGCTTATGCATTATATGATTATGTACTACCAATAAGTTATTCTAAATAAGCCGTCCCAAACAGTTTTACCAGACATGGACAGAAATATCATTTACACAACTATAACACAAATAAGGTATTCTGAATAAGCTGTCCAAACAATAAGTTAGATTATTCTGATAATCTGCAACATATTATAAATAATCAACAATTGCCCCAAACAAACCCTTACTGTCTTGGCTCAGACAACTTCACTCGTTCATACATATAAGACTCAAGATCCTATATCACTGGAATTTCCTTCATGGTAGTCTTTCCTTACAAATCCTTACATTTAATTTTTAATATTAGTTTTTATAATATTTTAAGGTTATAAATAAAAATGTGTGTGTGTGAATGTGCAAAAAAAAAAAATTTTTTTCAAACATTTGACCCGAAGTTTCAACCTGCTCGTTCGTCGGCGGATGAGATCGGTCGTTCAACGTACATTGTTGAGGGCGCGACAGCTGTCGGTATGGACGGTGGATATGAGTTCATGACTGCCGGCAAGAAAAAAGAGGAAGAAGGCGGGGCCCACTCACCAGTAGCCAGAAGTCGACGCACCGCCGTGTGGTAGAAATTTTTAGTGCCGGAATCAGATCTGAGATTTGCTCGCTCGGCTCCGAGAGATCTGATCGAGTTTCTCCGCCGCTGAGGGTTTCATTGTTCGGCCGTGTGATTCATCTCCGACCAAAGATTCGTTCCTTTTTTTTGATGTCCATTGATTGATTGGCTGCTTTTCTGCGGAACATGGAGGAGCTGGAGTGAGCCGGCCGCCGTTCGGGACTCGAAAAACTTTGGATTTATCAGCCCATCACAAGCAGTTGAATAGTAGTTTTAATCGATTTTGGTTGTTATTGGAACTTGGAATTGAGGAGTTTAAAAGAAATTTCGTATTTTAGGAATTGATTTGATAGGTTTGGATGTTGGAGTGGGCGGCGGAGTATATAATCGGAGGGATTCGATAGTTTTGGCTCCTTGGGCTTGAGATTGGAAGGGGATTTGCTTCATATCATCGAGGACCGGGGTGTGTGAGTCTGCTAGGATGGTAAGCGGGCCACTTTTTCTCTGCAGAAGGCATTCATGGCCGGCGGAGGAGTATGTTAGCCGGTCTACGTTGCAGCAGGTGAGATTCTTTGATCACTCTGTTAATCTACTTGGCTTTATGGCGGTGAAGTGGCTGATCAGCGTTGTGCCTGTTATTTTGTCTCTTAAAAAGGTAGAAGGGGGTTTTACAGTTTTAATAATGGAGAATTAGAGGCCACATGTGATTATTTTGCTCTTTCAGCATCCTCTTTTGATTAAAGTTCTTGTTTTTTTTCCTCGGATTGTTTAGTGTTGCTTCGCAGAGCTGCTTCTTATCCTTTATGAAAAGGGTTAGTTTTGTTCCCATATTCTAGAAGAGTTAAGTTCTCGCTATATATAACTTTAGACGACCATGCTGTTATCGAACGGTAATTTGTAGTAATACTGGAATATTGGATCTTGGTTTGAGCTTTATCTTTTATGTTGAATCTGATCTCTATCTTTTCACACCTTTATTTTATTTTTGTGTTTTTGTTTTTGCTGTGATTCATAGCTGGACTTTGATGGTGGTGCCCCGCCGCGATTGGCATGGAGGAGGCGGTTGAATAGTCATGCTAACAAACTAAAGGAATTTAGTGTGACCTTTATAGAAGCAATGAAGATGGTTCAAACCTTTCTTTCAAATTAAACTCATTTTCTAGTTTTTTTTTTAATTGCATTTTGAACATATATTATTCTATTACTACAAACAGTATTTATTTATTTATTTATGGTTGGAATTCAGATGACACTTGGCCTTCGTCTTTGGTCATATGTCCGTGAAGAGGCTTCTCATGGAAGGGTAATGATTTAATTTATGCTGTTTTGGTTAGATTTTTAGTTGATAATATTGATATCCGATAGACCAATTTATGTTTCTTTTGGTCTCCATGGCCACTGACGTTTGTTTTTGAAACTATCTCAAATTTTAACTGCACTTGATGCTTGATGAAGTCTTAAAATTTTACAGAAAGCTCCGATAGATCCGTTCACGAGGGAAAGTTGCAAACCATCAGCTTCCCAAGGAGTTCCTCTTGGAGGGATGGGGTATGTAATTTGAGGCAGCTGCCTAAGATCAAGCAATTTAGTCCCACATGAACTTTTTACCTTTATGCAGGAGTGGAAGCATATCACGGGGTTTTAGAGGGGAGTTTAAGCATTGGCAGATTCTTCCTGGTTTATGTGACATGTCACCGATCATGGCAAATCAGTTTTCTGTAATTCCTTAACCTTATATAGTTATAAAATACCTTTTTTTCCCCTATATTTGTACTGTATATTAACAATATGCAGCCATTGTTTATTCTGTTGTACTTAAACTGTAAATTTGCATCCTTTGTTTTGTTCAATGGCAGATGAATTGGAAAATCTTATTTTCTCTATATTCTGAACACTGTTAAATTTTCTTGTTATATGGCAACTTTTCACCATTTTAGTTATCAGAGATTTTCTTCATTAGTTTTTTCCAGGCATGCACCGAAAGCAATCTAGCAATGTTCCCTTTCGTTCCTTAATTCATAGGGGCTTCACTTTATTTCTCATAGTAAGCACATAGTCATAAAATATTATATTTGTTAAATGCACTGATAGTGATGCAGGGCTTTATAGTTGTTTTCATGTATTTAGAATTTACTTGATGGTATTTTAATTTTCTTATGTATTTTCTTGAACCTTTATCTTGATTGATATAAGACTTTTTTGATTTATTTTGTGTGATTTTTGTGTTTTTGCCCCACGTAGTGGGATTAAGGCTTTGTTGTTGTTGTTGTTGTTGATTTTTGTGTTTTAGGCGTTGTGTGATGTACTTACATAATGATTTAAATGATTCATGTCATGATTTTTGCGACAAAAATTTTATGCTGGTTGTCCACTTTTCGCATCCGGCGCTTGCGACCCGACAATGACAATGTTGAATATTGGCCTTTAAAAGAGAAGCATGAAAATGTTGTTGAGATGAGAATGCTTACGTGAATGAGTGGCTTGACACTCAGAGAAAAAAATACAAAATGAGTGTATCCGTGAAAGGGTTGGTGTAGCTCCAGTGGCAATTAAGATTAGATAGAGTCATCTTAGATGGTTTGGTCACATTAAACATCGACTATCCGATGATCCGATTGGAAGAGTAGATGCTTTAGGTTCAACTTATGTTAAGAAAGGTAGAGGAGATAGATCTTGAAAGACTTGGACATGTTGTATAAAAAATGATTATAATTTATTATAATTAAATGACAATATGACACTCAATAGGATACAGTGGAGAAGAAGGATTCGTTTAGCGAACCCACTCAATTGGACACAATGGAGAAAAAGGATTGGTGTAGCCTACCCTACTCAGTGGGATAAAGGATTGTTGTTGTTGTTAATGTAGACATTGTGTGATGTATTGTGCTATTTTATGATGAGCTGTATGAACTGGTGTGTTGAGCTATGTTAATCCTTCCATCGCTTAATCAAGCCCAAATTTGTCCTTTTTTGACTTTTTTACCACCCATTGACCACCATCACGAAAGTTGACCTCTGCATTTCCATTTTGACTTGTCAAGTCATTTTTGACTCAATAACATATCATCTTTATCACCATGGCATCCCTCTCTTCTCTCTCCTTGTATTAAAAATGACGTCATTAAGAAGTTTTGTAAATACCTTGAAATAATGAAACCAAGCATTGGAGCCATCTTGAAAACCTTTGAAAACTCACATGAATTCTTCAGTAGCCCTCTCCATTTCTCCTCCTTGCCTTCCCCATGTTATTAACACCCCTCTTTCTCTCTTTGGCTGTGGATACCTCTTACTTGATTTTATAAACAATGTGGTCTTTTACTGCAGTTGTTGGCTATAAGATTAAGTGAAAGGTTGCCTCTTAAGTTTTATACTCTTTTTGTGTGTTTACCGCCCAAAGTAAAAAAATTAATTGTGATTGATAAATCACGTCCTTTAGAGAAGGATTTTTGAGGATGGAAGGAGAGCCCTGTGATGATGGATTATTCACAATGGTTGATTTCAACTTATCTTCACTCCATCATTGGTTGCCATTACATATTTGATCATCTATAGCTTTCATATTTCCTTTGCTTTTGTAGTATTGGATATTTAGGTTGGTCAACATAATTAGCTTTATTATACTTACATATTTATCATCATTCACATGGAAGTAATTTAGCATTTGTTCGTATAACCGTCATAGTTTCACCTTCTCATTTAGTTTATATTTATCCTAGAGTAGTTTATGATATTCCTACATTTTTTCTGATCAGAGCAAGTCAGTTCCTTAAGAGATTCTTGTTGCATGCTGATGATACTTTCTAAATTAGATTATGTTGGTAGATTAGTTGCTTTATCTTATGATTCCATTAGCTAAACCAAGTAAAAATACTTTTGATCATCGCTTCATTAGGTTCATTATTAACTTACACAACTGTATTTTCATATTCATTGCATTTGCATATTATCCGAAGATAAATGTCTGCATGTGTCAGCTTTTTTATATTTTCCATGGCAACACCTTTATTTTGGCTATATATGTTTCATTTTGTGCCAATATCTTATTAAACTTTGATCAGTTTGAAGAGCTCCCTAACATTCTTGTTGGGTGCCTATCTACTTGGCTAGTGTTTTCTTGTTGTTTTAAAGGATTTTTTGTATTGGAAAATAGCTTTTTACAATCAATTTTTCTAGTGTGTGATAACTGTAATAAAGTTGCTACCCGCCTTAAAAAAAATGTTTATAATACTCACAATAGCTTTAAAAAAATTGCTTTATCTGCAACAATTTTACAAAATGTCTTTATAATTGGACTATTTTTTTGTCTTTAGTCTTGTGTGATATCTTGTATATTTATCATTGTTGTATGAACTTGAGTAATAAGCTAGCCTAAACCATACATTCTTTTGCCTGCCCATGATAAACCAACCTATATTTACTCTTTTTAATCTCTCATTGATCAATATCACCAAAGTTGACTTTTATGTTGTCTTTTTGATTTTCTAGCCATTTTTTGATTCACCACCTCATCATTCTTATCACCATGATTGCTCCCTCTCTCTCCTTGCTTCTGCATCAAAAGTGGCACCATTAAAAACTTTGAATATACTTTGAAAAAACTTTTAAATAATGAATTCATGTATTGAAATCACCTTGAAATCCTTGGAAACCCACATGAACTCTTCAAATTCCCCTTCCATTACTCCTCCCCATTTCAATACCATGAACACCCCTTATTATTCTTTCTTTGGCTAGGGCTATCAATAATTTGCCTTTCATGACAATCCGAGACGGACTTGACTTGAAAAATCTGGGTTTTGATTGACCCGAGCAACTTCAGGGTCTGGCTTGGCTTTAAGAGTCTTGCACGATTAAATTTTCAAGTGGGTTATCGAGTTGAACTGCAAACGCAAAATTGATCGACTAACCTGAGATTGATTTGAATTTGACTTGAAACCCCGTGATTGCTGCGAATTTTTGACCTAAAATGCACGTACAAACTGGCCACTCATGTTCAAGTCAGTTAGATTGCAGGCGGTTTGGGTTTTGATTAAGGTTTTTGACTAGTTTAATGAATGGGTCCGTCTCTTAGAGAAGGGCTTTAAGAAACAAGGAGATCTTTTCAATGACAAATTGTTCTTATGTGTTGGCTTGAATCATCTCTGCTTCAGCACGGGTTGCCTTAAATTCATCCATGCTATATCATCTGTAGTTCTTACCTTCTTTGCTTCTTAAGCGTTGGATGTGTTGGGTGGTTAACATAACTGGAACTTAAATCATCTCTTAATATTTTATTTCTGCTTCATAGTAGTTGTTTGTATATCATAATATGCTCATAATTGATTTAATTAATTGTTTGTGCAATTGGTATACTTGCCTTTGCATTTATTTTGCATTCGTTTACAAGAGTTTAAACTCATCATGCATTAGTTTACACTTTCCTTACATTGAATATTTTGCATTTATTAGTTTAATTTTCTTGTGATATTTGAGCTGCTACATCTGCTAAATAAATGCCTACAAGTGAATTTTTCTCTTGCGAACTTTTATTTACATCCAATTTCCCTCTATTTTTATGCATATTCAATGTATGGCCTAGGTGATATTATCTAAAGAAAAGGAATATCTTTCAAAAGACAAATTCTTGAAAAGTAAATTATTAAAATAATCCTTGGACTTTTTAGATGTATCATTTTTAGTCCCATGTTATTTCAGTTCTCTTATTTAATCCTCTAATTCGCCAAATCTTAACCAATTTGTCTACTAATGATTTTGCCTTTTTTTGGGATAGAAAGCTTTTCATGAGAACATTTTGGATTTCTTAGAAATAATATTGATACTTAATTCTAGCTCAAACTAATGATATTATCCTAAACGTTCATAATCTTCTCATGTAAAGCTCTTCACGAATATACTTTCAAATTAACTTAACTTTGATGAGTTGAGGGACTAAATTGAATATTTGAAAAAAAATTGGTACTAAAATAAACACGCCAAAAATTTTACGGGCCATCTTGATCATTTATTATTTTCATAATGTTTGTTGGGATCTTTTCTAGAAACTTAGTGCTGATATTTTACATTCTGAAGCTGTATAAATAAATGTTTTTTTTTTACTTTTTCACTTTGTTTAACATTTAAATATAATAGTGCCTCATGCGTGCAATGTAATTATGATATGTATGAGTTTTCTGTGGCTAATGGTGCATGCTTGTTATAAGATGTAACTTCATTCTCTTTTCACTGTATGATGGAGATTATTGTATGATGCTCTTAGTTATTATCATGTTATTGTTTGCCAAAAATAGACGGGGAATATGCTTTATTCCTGGTTTTTGATTGACTTGTTCTATTGTTTTTCCTTCTTTCCAACAGATTTTTATTTCTAGAGATGGAGGGAACAAAAAATTCTCATCCGTCTTAGCCCCCGGCCATCATGAAGGGATAAAGTAAGAGCAATTTTCACGAGCTTTTGTAATTCATTTGCTCATTTGTTCATGGTTCTTAAAGTTTTAAATGATTTTAGATAAATTGCATCTATAGTATTTCCGTTATTAGAGGAAACATGTTTTTTCTGATACCATAATATACCCTTTGGATTCTAATGCATGCCCTGGATATGCCATGAGAGCAGAAGTTTGTTTTTAGCTACTCATTTTTGAGTTTTTTCGGGGTTTGTAATATTTTTTTTGGGAAATATACGCACATACCACAATTTTTTTGTATCTACATATCTAGCACCTAAAATTTGATATTTATATTTATTGCACTTTGGTATTAAAGTTTATGCTTGCCCTGGATATGACATGAGAGCAGAAGTTTGTTTTTAGTTGTCCATTTTAAAGTTTTTTCAGGGTTTGTAATATTTTTCTGGGTAAATATACATACATACCGCACAATTTTTATATATTTACATATCTAACACCAAAAAATTGATATTTATACTTATAGCATATTTGTATTAAAGTTTAAGCATGAAATGTGTATTTCACTCTTAAAAAGTTACAAATGGTGGTATTTTGATGTAATGTCAAATATTTAAATGACATGTATGTACATATGAAAGTTTTGGTGTTAGATATGTAAATATATAAGATTTGTGTGGTATGTAAGTAAATTCCCCAACTTTGTTTAACATATATAGTGTAACTGTAACCAACTGTAGCTTTTGACAGGATTTGATGGTGCCGGAGGAAGTTATGGAAAATGTCTGTGGTTGCAATTCGCAAAGCGTCAATATTTTATCTACCCTTTTTTATATTTTGAAAGCAGAAAGCATATTTGATACACTAATTGATATGTTATCTACGCAAATTTATGTTCTCATCGTCAAATCCTTTTTTATATACTAAACCTATTAATTGATACACTATCTAAGCAAATTTATACTCTCATGCACTCTTCATGTGGAACTCTTTCAATATCTTACTGTGAAATAGTTGAATTAGACTCTTTTTTTTCTTTGTTTTTATTTTTTTATCATGCTTTTAGTCATTTTGAATTACATTCCATTCATTTTTTTTATTTACTGTAGGAAAGTTGGGGATCAAGGAATTTCATCATGGGATTGGGACCTTAGTGGTCAGCATTCTACATATCATGCTTTGTTTCCTAGGGCATGGACCGTTTATGACGGTAGGTTGAGTTTCACTTTTGAAATTTGTGTAAGGTGGAAGTTTGCTTATGTAATTTTCATTTTAATTTTACACAGGTGAACCAGATCCAGACCTCAAAATTTCATGCCGCCAAATATCGCCATTCATACCTCACGATTATAGGGAAAGTAGTCTTCCTGCATGTGTATTTGTATATACTGTGAGTCCATGCAGCATATTCTCATATACTATCTTTACCATAGATCTTTCCTTGCCACTTTCTTTTAAATTGTTATTTTCCATAATCTGGAGTATTAGACAAAACTTAACGCATTTATATTTAGTTTCAGATTGTTATTTATGAAATTTCTTGTATTTGAACTTATGGACTATACTCGACTTTATACCTGATGTTTTATGTAAAAAATTAAACTTTTTTACGAAATAGCTGATGTTGATTTATGAAAAGTGTAATTTGAAATTTAGCTTCTAATATTAGTATTTGAATACTGTATCGGCAAGTTGTTTGAACTCAAAAGGAGAAACTGTGTTAATCCTAGAGAAAATAAACTGAAGAACATGACCATATTGTGTTGATGGAGCCTGTGGATACGAGAAATTAAACATAAAATGTATTCGTTGGTCGTTACTGTGAGCATAGAAATTTGATTAAATGGCCGGAACATTAGCACATTGTAGGGCGTTAATTAGCTGCTTGTGCTTGTGATTGATGCATAGATTAAATGATTTGAAAAATTGAATATGCAAAATAAAATAAGAAGGGACAAATTGATGTTTTGCATAATTGCACGTGATATGTTAGATGAAAGGAAACTGAAGCATTTTGTTTTTCTTGATAAGTACAATTATATTTGTAAGTGTTAAAGAATTCTGCAATTTTCTTATTTATTTCAGGGTAGTATTTGAATAAAGAATATTTCTCGAGTTATTTAATTTATGAACTTCGTTAGTGGCGCTCCCTGCCCGCACGGTTTTAATGAATTGTGGACAGGGAACTCACCTCTTTTGTTCCAGTTGTTAATGTTTCAATCAGTACATTAAGAGCCCCTCCTTGGAATCATTTTGTTGGAGTGATTTCTATTTTTAATCCTGAGATGGATTCTATTATGGATTCAAATTTTGTAACTAATGAGGAGGATAGTTTTGTGTGTTTGGGTGGCCTCGTAATTTTGAATTATTTTTTGTTAAAATGATGAACATGTATCCTTTGTTCATATAGGCGATGTAGTGGAGAAAACAACCCCTCACTTGAAGTGCCTGAAATGACAATTTAATACAAGTTATTTTGATAGCTTGCCTAGAATGAACATATGTTCATCCTCTAAAGTTTCTTCTGTAGGTCAAATGTAAAGCATAATAGAGGTGGATACAACTCTGTTGGTTAAATCTCGCAAACACCTATTATGGTACTCTTTCCACTAGGGTAGATGAGTGATAAAACCAATAATTTGAACTTTCTGAACTATTCATATAGATAATTTTTAAATCATAGGGATCTACATATTAACACAAATCAATAGATTAGAAATAATAACAAAATATTCTATTAATTTTGTTACGCTCGTAACAAACATAAGAGGACTGGTCCATCCTGGATTGGTCGAACACCACCCCACCGGCCTGCTCTTTCAAGGATGGAGTTAGAGGAAAGTTTTCAAATGTTGTGGGGGATTCTATTAAGGGGAATAACGTAGGGTATGATTTCGGGATTTAGTGCCAAGATTGAAGAACAAGACAATTGACAACCTTATCGGCACCATTGATCCTACATTGGGAAGCCTTGAGACAGAAGAGCGAAAGGGATGAGGAGCTGAGGAAGATAACATTCGAGTTATTATAGGATTTGAACAATCACCTAGGATATGCATTGATGGGACAACAATTGCTCCACCTGGGGCAATTCGTGCAACCCAAGTCGTCGGAGTATATTCCTAAATTATTACAAGAGTTTCATGACAATACCATCAGGGGACACTCATGGGTGCAGAAGACCTAAAGTCTTCCGACAACAGAGCTGTATTTGGTCGGGATACACAAAAACATGGAGGATATGATGGCGAAATGTGATGTGTGCCAGCGATACAAGTACTTGACCTCGACACCAGGAAGGTTACTGCAACCATTAGCATTACTGAGGAAGGTTTGGAAGGAAGATAGATTTTATCGAGTGGTTGCCTCGATTATAAGGGTTCACTGTGATCATGGTGGTCATGCATCGCCTGAGTATGCACATTTCATTCCCTTACGAAATCCCTACATTGCGGTCTAAGCCGTAGCAGTGCTTATCTGGGAAGTGGTCCTTTTGCATGGGGTGCCATAATCGATTGTGTTGAATAGGGACCTCAACCACTTTTGGAAGGAGTTATTCAGGTTGCAAGGGATAACCCTTAAAAGAAGCACCACATATCATCAACAGACTGATAGACAGACGAAGGTGGCGTCGAGACATAACTGCGCTGTTTTATATCCAACACAAAGAAGCTATGGGCTAAGTAAATTGCATGGGCGTGGCGTCGAGACATAACTGCGTTGTTTTATATCCGATACAATGAAGCTATGGGCTAAGTAAGTTGCATGGGCCGAATTTTGGTATAATATTTCGTACCACACAACAACACATACAACACTGGTATCCAATAAGATATTATATTTGCGAGATTTCCATTTGATACATTATGAGCATAGTACCACACTGGTATCCAACATCGATCAACACTTGGAGGATAGGGATATGATATTAGCAGAGCTCAATGAGCATTTATTGAGAGCTCAACAAATCATGAAAAGGAAGGTGGACGAACACAGGAGAGAGGTACAATTTGAATCAGGAGATTGGTCTACTTGAAACTGAGATTCTACCGACAGAAGACAATGGGAGAAGCGAAAAACTGTCACCACGATACTTTGGGCCCTATGATGTGATGACACACATCGGGGCAGTAGCCTAATGTTTGAAGTTACCACCATCGTCTGCACTACACTTGGTCTTCCATGTATCATAGTTGTGATTAGAGATCACACACCATCGTCTACACTGCCGCCGACACTGATGGAGGACTTGGAAGTGATTTTGGAGTTGCTAGAGATTGAAGGAATGCGCCGGAGAGTGGGGGAGAAAATGAGGTATTAGTTAAGTAGAAATGACTACCAGACTATGAAGTAACATGGAAGCCTTACGAGGTGATTCACAAGCAGTTTCCATCCTTCCAATTTGAAGACAATGTATGTCTTTGGGAGGGGAGTATTTTTATGCCCGTAACAGGCGTAAGAGGATTGGTCCCTTCTGGACCGGTCGAACACCACCCAACTGACTCACTCTTTCAATAGACGAGCTGGTCTTCGTCGAGTGAAGAGGCCGGGTGGCCTATTACCGCAACAAAAGAGAGGGGGAGTAAGTGGGGTCCACTAGGGCCATTATCACATACTTAAGGAGGAGAAATTGAGGGAGTTTGGAGGGAAATTTTGGGGGGGGGGGGGGGGGTGTGGGGGGGGGGGGGGGGGATTCTACTAAGGGGAATAACCTAGGGTTGCTTTCTTTATGCATATTTTTGTTTGGCTGTTGTTTTTTTTCTACGTCTGGTGTTCTTAGCGACGTCTAGGGTTGGGAGAGACGATCTACCTCTCGAAAAGTAGATCAACCTCATATCTTGCTTGTTTTCTTTCGATTTTATAAGAGCAACCTTTGTTTTGTTTCTTTGACATATCTATTATTGTTTCGTTGTGTTTTGTTCGCTGATTTTGGTATCGAGGCGTACCAAATTTCTAATAGACATCAATGTTCATTTGCATCAAACTTTCATTACATGCATATCTTCAAGTGCTATAATTTTATTTAAAAAAATTTTGCTTCAAAATATTAGTTAGTCGATTCAAACCTTGATCCTCGCTTAGGCACCATTTTGTATTTTCTTTTATCTAAAATAGTAGCTAGAGTAATATCTGATGAACTTAAAAACTCAGCTTGATAAATAATTATAAAATATGATTCAAATATTCTATATATTGAACTAATATGATGTGGTAATCATGGTTTTTATATGAGAATTAAAATAAAATATAAACTAGTCTAGTGCTTTGCTTGTAATCATTATAAAGTGCGCTTTTCTAAATAATAAGTTACATAATAGTATGTAAGATAATTGTATTGAATAAAATTAAAAGTGATGTTTAAATTTCAATCATAATATGCACTTATGCTAGTCAAACTTACAGGTGCCAATATAAGAGAATTTATTTCTTATGATATTCAATTATTTCTTGACATGAGTTATCTTTTTTTATTCTTATAATATGTCATGTATGTCTAGGTTAATTGATCATCATAATATAGTGAACTTGTATCAAATCAAAACTATATATCATAAATTTCAAAATTCAATCCAAGGGCTATATATTAAAAACCTTTTTGTCTCTGTAAGGGATCACCATTATCACCTATCCATGCGAGTCATTATTAACATATTAACTTGAGTACCTGTTTGCTTTCGTAATGAGTCACGTTTGTCACCCTCTTTGTACATGTTATCTTTTACATGCTATTGTGAACCTCTCCACTTAATATGACTTCTCTTAAGCTCATTGATTTTTTATCAAACATTTAAATATATGTATGTAATTTATTTTTTAAGCAGACTAATTATTTTTTGCATCAATAATTATTTTATGTGCATGCTATTCTACTTTGGAAATTCAATATTTTAATAAAATGCTACCATAAGTTTACTACAAACTTATGCAGTTTATAATTTAAAATGATGTGAAATTATTTAATCACAAATTGCAGGACGTAAATGTGCATTTTATATTATGAAAAAGTTTCTACATGCTGCCTTACAAATTAGTTTAACTTATAAATTATATACAAGAGACTAAGCAATTTTTGTTGTCCAACTAGCTACTAACTATAGGACGTACCTCGTTGCAACAGCCACCTCAAAACCTTGTCTTTTTTTTACAATCTAAAATTTAGATTTCTCAATTTACAAGTTTTCCTAAATTACAACTCAAATTTGAATCAGAATAATCTCAAAATAAAGCTTTGCCTCAAAATACACTCTAATACAAATCTTAAAGCCTATCAACTTTAATCTATAGTTGTCGAATAGGAGACATTACCAAAAACTTCTTTGATTTAATCTTTATTATCATAATATCTACATGCCACTTAACCCTTTCTCTCTCTTGTTAAATGGTTGTCAATGCATTAAAAATTCTTTATTTCTAACTTGAGATTCTTGAAATGTTTTCTATCACAATAAATGGCTTGCATTTTCCCTTTTTTTTTTAGGAATCAGAACATGTTCTAACTTTGTGCATACTACACTATTTCTTATTTGATTTACTAACGTTCGTTTCTGCTTTTGTAGCTGGTAAATACTGGGAGGGAAAGGGCGAAGGTCAGCCTGCTCATGACTTGGACGGTAAATGAAGAAATAGCATCATATGCTATATTTAATAAGATATTCAGCATCCGAACTTTATATATCGAGATATCGACCTCCCAATACACATTCACCTACCAAATCATAAATTTTTTTCATGTTTAATTGGTTTAGCCTTATCTTATTTTATATTTTATTTAATAAGATTTTCAGTATACTTACTTACATTATCTAGATGTTGACTTCCTAGAATGGCACACATTGATCTACCAATGCTGCCATATTTTCATGCTTAGTTTAGTATTATCATAGAATATCATAAAACTTCCAAGTGTCATCATTTGAAATTTTGTTTTTAGATCAATTTAATTTGATAGATAAAATACAAATTCAACGGTACAAACTTTTTAAGTAGTTAGAAATCTGAGCAGTTAGTTGTGCATATGTTGGAATAGAGATTAAGGAAAACAAAATAATCGATGTAAATGTTATTTAAAATTTAAAGAAGTATTAAAAATAAATATAAACATCAAAAAATGATTTGTTTTAAAATATTATATAGCTTTCAAAGTTGGAATGTTTATGATTAAGTCAATATTTAAAAGTGCACAATTGGGTATTGACGTGTTTTTTTGTTTGTGAGGTGAGGCCCAAATCTTAATGTGTTTTGAGGCGTAAGCCTTAAATTTAAAAAAGTTACGTAAACTAATAAATATTATATAAACTATAAAGTGTGAAATAATGATATATTACTATTCTAGTTTATTAACATATTAAAAATTAATATAACAATATTCTAACTAAATAAAAAGTAATTAATTGTGTAAAATTAGAAACAACACCTTAATATCGTAACATTATTTTAATATCTTAACTTTAATTGTTTAATATTTGTAACAAACATCTTATTTAAACAATTAAAGTTAAGATATTAAAATAAAATAATAAAACATCAAAACATAACAATTAAAATATGTTTAATATTAATCTTTCATTTTCACTCTTCTACCTCCACTTAAACAAGGATATAACAATTCATCAATATTTGAATTTTTAATTTTGAAATCCCTATTACTCTCATGACTCAATTGATTTTCATTAGAATTATCGGCATATTGTATTATTTATCTTGCGCATTATCTTTATTTGTATCCATATTCTCCTATTCCTTATTATCTTTAATCCTAACTATTTTCTATTTTTAATGAATAGTTATTATTAAAAATATTAATTAAAATAATAACTATTTTGATAATTAGAATATCAATTACATAAATTTTATGGATATATTTTTCTTTTAATTATTGTTATTCAGAGTGTGATGTGTGAATGTTAAAAGACGATATTTATTATTATTTTTATTTTTGTGTAAAAAAAATATGGATAGCCTCAAATTTGAGGCATTTTTTCAGGCGAGATGTGGCTTGAGGCGGGCCTCAGCCTGGTTGAGGCGTATGACTCGCATTGAAACACTGAAATATAAGCTTTATTGCGATTTTTTTTTGGATAAAAAAGAGGTCTGTCTCATATTACACAATTTTAAACAAGTGATTAAGTCAAGTGTCTGCAAAGTTTTGTTAAAAATTGCTTTGGTTCTATTGGAAAGCTGGCTAATTTGGAAGCAAAATCGCGCTTCCAAAATTGCTACACATAACGTATGTTCTTTATTTAGGCATAGTTTATGCTTCTATAATCATTGTGTCGAGATGTGACTGAGATGGAAACAAAGTTGTGAGAATTAATTCTAATTTCTTTAATTAAGGAGATTAGAATTAATTGGTAAATCCCTTAAATTAAAGAAATTAGAATAAATTTGTAATCCCTTAAATTAAGGGAAATAGTTAAATTGTTTCCCAGTTTTTCTCCTTTTAATCTCCTATATAATACCTTGTATGATCAATTCAAGAGAAGAAGAGAAATACAAATTATTTCTTTGATTTCCCACATGGTATCAGAGCCCAGGCTGAAACCCTAAAGGACACCGCCTGTTGCCGCGCTTCACACCGCACACCGCCTGTTGCCGCGCTTCTCCGACTCTTCCTCACGTTCCTTCCGAGCGCGGGCTGCTTCGGTCCCTCTGCCTCGATCCAGTAGCGGTTCCAAAAAAATTGTTCTTTGTCGAGCACGAGCGACTCTTCCGAGCACGAGCACGAGTGACGAGCACGGCTAAAAATTTCTCTTTGCCGAGCACGAGCGACTCTTCCTCCCGAGCACGAGATTCCAGTAGCGACTCCCGCTTCGTCCGAGAGGAGCAGCACGTTATCACGAGGAAGATCGTCCTTTGCCGCTGCAATCCTGTGCCGGAGATCTCGCGATCTTTGCCGTTCTTTGGATTTTTTTAATTAGCTGCCTTAATTGCTGTGATTCTTTTACCACTGCAGGTTGATTTCTAGCCTTAATTGCTGCAAATTTTTTTTCTCCACCATGTCAATGTCCGAAACGACTATCTCCAACTACTCCAACAATTCTGAAGAATACAATGCTGTTCAGAAAATTGGAGAGTTGCAGAATAATCGGGCATCCAATAGGTTCAATGGGAAGAACTATCTCAAATGGTTTTAAATTGTCCGCACATACCTAAAAAACAAAGGGAGGATTAATCACCTACTTGGAATCAGACCAGAAGAAAAGGGATCCAGCCTCTACAGCATGGGAAGAGGAGGATTCCATGATTATGTCCTGGCTATGGGATTCTATGGACCCAACGATCAGTGACGCATGTTCTTGAACGCCGCAAAGGAAATCTGGGACTATATCAACAGCACATACTCGAAAGCCCGCGATACTGCCCTTGTGTATGAAATCAAGGAAAAAACTGGAGCAACCAAACAAGGAGACAAATCTGTCACAGAGTACACAACTCTATTGCAGAATCTGTGGCAGGAACTAGATCACTATCATGTAATTGAGATGAAATACCCTGATGATGTTGTCACCTTGAAGAAGTTCATTGAGAAGGATCGAATATATGATTTTTTGGCAGGATTGAATCCTGAATTTGATCATGTTAGAATCCAAATCCTCGGCAAGGAGGATACGCCGTCTCTAGAAGAGATAATCTCATTAATCCGAGCAGAATAAAGTCGGAGGAGTGTCATGCTAGAACCACATACTATGGATGGGTCAACCTTAGCAGCAAACACAAATCAGGAGAAGTCAAAGAACGATAATCAAGGGAAGGAGAACAAAGACAATCTTTGGTGTACTTATTGCAAGAAACCAAGGCATACAAGGGAGAAGTGTTGGAAGTTAAATGGTAAACCTCCAAGCTGAGAATGGGGTAACCGTGGGGAGAAACAAAGGCCTCGAGCGCATATGGCAAAGCAACCCAATATGGAGGAAAAATCAACAATATGGGGATTCAACAGTGAAGAAATTGAGAAATTGAGAAACTTATTGGGATCTCTTGAGAAGCCTTCTGGAGCATGTTTGATAGCTCTTTCAGGTAAAACTGTTTGCATGAATGTCTTAAACAAATTATATACCAACTCTTGGATCATTCACTCTGGTGCTACTGACCATATGACCCCCACATCTCAACTCTTCCATTCATATAACCCCTGTCCAAGTAATAGAAAAATTATCATGGCCAATGGATCGTTAGCTACCGTTGCAGGGATTGGTGATATAAATATCACTCCTAGCCTTATCCTGAAAAATGTTCTCCATGTACCCAAACTGTCAACAAGCCTTGTGTCCATTCAAAAATTGACTCATGATCTCAAATGTTATGCTGTTTTTTTCTCTTCTTATTGTGTTTTTCAGGAACAAGACTCGGGGACGAGGATTGGACTTGCTAAGGAAAGGAGCGGTCTTTACCACCTTGAACCATCCCAGAAAATCAGGAGCAATTTGTCCTCATCTTTCCTTAGTTCCTCAAACAAAGATGTCATTTGGCTGTATCACTTACGCCTTGGTCATCCATCTTTTAGAGTTCTAAATATAATGTTTCCTCATTTATTCCAAGAATTAAATGATTTCTGAGTTTCATTGTGACATTTGTGAATTGACAAAACATAATCGTGTATCTTTTCCTATTAGCAATAAAAGACGTTCTCATCCTTTTCATCAAATTCATAGTGACATATGAGGTCCTTCCACTATACCTAATGTTTCTGGGGCTCGTTGGTTTATACCCTTAATTGATGATTGCACCTGGGTTACATGGCTCTTTCTTCTTAAACAAAAATCTGATGTTAGTTCAATTATACCTAACTTCCATTCAATGGTTCAAAATCAATTTGGGGTCAAAATAAAAAGCTTTAGGACTGACAATACTAAAGATTACTTCAATCAAATTCTTTCACCTTATTTTCAATCACAGGGGATTATCCATGACTCATCATGTGTGGACACACCACAACAAAATGGGGTAGCTGAAAGAAAGAATGAGCATTTACTCAACACCACCCGAGCCTTACTCTTTCAAGGGAATGTTCCTAAGTCCTATTGGGGAGAAGCCGTTCTTACTGCCACACACATGATCAATAGACTTCCATCCCGTGTGTTAGAAAACAATAGCCCCATAGAGGTCCTAAATAGCTTCTACCCTCACTTCAGAACCTCAAATGGCCTCACTCCCAAGGTATTTGGGTGTACTGCCTTTATTCATGTCCACAAACAACATAGAGGGAAGCTAGATCCCAGAGCTATCAAATGTGTTTTTCTAGGTTACTCCACTCAAAAGGGATGTAAGTGTTACAATCCCTCTACGAGAAAATTTTACATCTCTGCAGATGTCAATTTCACAGAAAATAAATCTTTTTTTTCCAAGTCCTCTCTTCAGGGGGAGATTTCCATGATGGAAGATAGTACTTGTGAGCCCTTTGAACCACTTAAAACCCTTGACCTTCCACATGTGCCAGCCCGGGTTGTTGAACCTAGATCAAACTCTCTTTCTATTCCAGCTGAACCCGAGTCCTTTGAACCAATCACATCTGAGTCACTTGACCCTGAACCCTTATCATCTCCTACTCCAACCAGTGTCACTAATGATTTCCCGAGATTTCCTCAGGTTTATTTAAGGAGAAAGGTCGTTC